GGAGAGGAGAAGTGGGGGCCAAGGGACCTAGAAGATGGGGTATGTGAATCTAATAAAGCTTGATGCTTGAATGGAATCTTGAAGGAACAGGTGGAAATACCCAGGGAGATAGATGGCAGTCAGGGAAGGCTTCCCAGAGGAGGCAGTTACTGAACTGAGCCCTAAAGGATGAAAGCAGTTTTCCAGGCAGGTATTCTAGGGTGGGGAAACAGCGTGGTGCGGCCTTTGTTCATTTGCTCTGACTGTTCCATCGAGACCAGCCAAGGGACCTGGACTCAAGTTGGATAGGCAGCTTCCAGAATTATTCATGGGGGACTCAGAGCCCAGAGACCACTCCCATCTACCCCTCGCCCCCCTTGCACATATGCTCTGGCTTCCCTCACTGCTCATCCCGCCCATTCTGTCTCCTGGGCCCTGCATATGTCTCCCAGCCCCTCCCCTTGCCTGCTCTGCAGCCTCCTCGAAAGATCTCGTCCTCCAGAGAATGTTTTCTTGCCCTGCCTGTCCCTTTCTGCAAAGTTCAGCACTTTGCAGAGCCCAAGCTTGCCCTCCGCTCAAAGGTGAACGTTCCTGGAAGCTCCAAGCCGTTTTCCACTTCAAACAAAAGGCTGGAACTCGCACCTCAGTCTCCACGCACAGCCAGACCGCTGGGCTTCCAACTTGGCCGGGCATCCGTCCGTAACGAGGAGTGGGCCCAGCCTAAATCTGGAGATGTTAGCTGGAAACTCCAGTGCTGCTAATTCAGGCCTTCCAACTTTGTGTGTTTCCCACTCTTCCACATCGAGCAACTCGGCTGTCTCAGGAGGAGACTCAGAGCCTGCCGCCCACCACCTTTTGTCCAGATCAGGCCCAAGGAGGGGAGCCAGACCATCCCAACCACCTGGTCTTCAGCAATAACTCAGCAGGTCCCTACTGTGCGCCAGGCTCATGTGAGCGTCATTTCTCACGTTTCTGTGGCACAGGGGTCATTGTCCCTGTTTGGTAAGGCAAGGAATTCGAGGTTTAGAGAATGGAATGAACTAACCTTGAGGTCACACAAGGAAGCCTTAGAGTTGACTCAGCTCCTGAGTCTGAATCTAGTGCTGCTTGTCTAGCACAGTGTCCCAGGGAGTTCATGCATCTGCTCAGGAGCCTGTCTCTGAGGCAAGGGTACAGGCCCCGGAGTTTGGCCTGGAGCTAAAACTCTTATTTTGGGAGGCTCCCACCCTCTTCACACCAAACATGAAAATGCACCGCATCCCACGCTGAATGTAACTTACCTTTAACTATCTACCGGTGGAGTTGAGCGGCAGTTGAGTAGCTGACTTCATGTCAGGTCCTGTGCACATCTGCAGGCATTCCTTTCTGTGGCAAGTGCTAGAACACAATCTCACGTGGTTCAAAGGACCTGAGATATTATTGGCTCACATAACAGTCAGGTAACTGGAGCTTCACATGCAGCTTGATCCCGAAGCTCAAGGATGTGACCAGGGCTTGGTTTCTCTTCCTCTCTTCCTCTTGACTGCTTCCTCCATGCTGCTTTGTTGTAAGACAGGATTTCCCCTCACGGTGGTAAAACGGCTCTCTTCGCTTCAGCCTTATATGTTCCCCAAGATTATGTCGGCCTATGTTTTCTAGGCATTGCTTTTACAAGGGTCTCGAGGAACACCGGTTGGGTGGCTCAGACCACAGGTCCAGCCCTGCACCGGTCACAGGAAATCATGTTTTGATTGGCTGGGCCTGGGTTTCTTGTTCTAACAGAGTGGAAGTGGGAGCTCCTGCCTGTGGGGTGGAGAGCGGGGAAGGGGTGGATTCCCGAATGATCACGGGAGTCTGTTACCTAACTGGCAGGCGGGGAAGGGTACAGGGGCCCGTTCAAGGCGGTGGCTTCACAGCTCCGGGAAGCGAAATTGCTGAGGCCAAAGCCTGGGCTAGGCCCCCTCTGCGGCGCTGCCCCTCGCCCTCCCTGCCACTCTCACCTCCTCTCCTCTCTCCTGCAGCCCGACGGCACCAGTAAGGAGTGTGTGTTCATCGAGAAGGTTCTGGAGAACAATTACACGGCCCTGATGTCAGCCAAGTACTCCGGCTGGTACGTGGGCTTCACCAAGAAGGGGCGGCCGAGGAAGGGCCCCAAGACCCGGGAGAACCAGCAGGACGTGCACTTCATGAAGCGCTACCCCAAGGGGCAGGCGGAGCTGCAGAAGCCCTTCAAGTACACCACAGTGACCAAGCGGTCCCGGCGGATCCGCCCCACGCACCCCGGCTAGGGCCCCCGCCCACGTCCACACTCCCAGAGAACTGCATCAGAGGAATATTTTTACATGAAAAATAAGGAAGAAGCTCTATTTTTGTACATTGTGTTTCAAAGAAGACAAAAACTGAACCAAAACTCTTGGGGGAGGGGGACGATAAGGATTTTATTGTTGACTTGAAACCCCCCCCATGACAAAGACTCACGCAAAGGGACTGTTGTCGACGCACAGGTGCTTGTCTCTCTCAGAACAGACAACTCTAAACTCGTCCCCAGAAGAGGACTCGAATGAGGAAAACGACACTCTGAGAAACCAAAGTCCTTTTTCCCAAAGGTTCTGAAAGCAAAAG